ATCTCTTTCTTATGTTATGCCACTCATTTCTTTATTGCAATAAAAGTATTTGTTCGATGTCAATGTCACATCCAAATATCCAAAATCACCGCAAGCGAGTATGTGACGTGAATATCGCAAAGTCATTGCACCCATCAAAAGTCGTGACAAAAATCGCTTCAACCCTCAGCTTGCATTAGTCACCAGTTCAGTCAGCTGATTTGAACTAATTCAATTTTTGCCGTCCAAATGATTTCTCATAATTCGTCTCTAAAAAACTCTTCAATGAATGTAAAATAATCCGCCCATTACATTCGTTCAGAACCGGACGGTTCTTGTGGTGTTCTGCTCGCATATGAGGCTTGTCGCTTTTGATCACCTATAAATAAATCCCGAAATCACATTTTATTTTGTTACAGACCTAACTTTTTTTGCGGTATGTTACCATTCACGTTCATAGATAGCAAGATTTCTGAATTCTTCGGAAAGAGATTCCGAGTCTTATTTGCTAAGAATACTCGATGAAAATGTGCACGAGCATAATGAATATGACGATGGGTCCAATAATAAATTGTTCTTCACAAATGAGACGCATTCCCTCCGTTCCAATATTGTGCAACGTTTTATGAATCACCATTAAAATACATCGTTCCGAATGCGAATAACGTTAAACTGCCCATGTCCTCTCAAATCAAACTGAATGTATGAAATATAACCCAAACAAGTGATTGTTTATGACATAATTTCGACGACGCATTTCATTTGACAGTAATGAGCAAACACATGTCAGAAGCGTATGGATAACTAACGTTGAAAGTTTCGGATTGGAGGGCTCATCGTGTCAAATCCTCCGAATTCACTGCCCAACCACCCAATTCAAATAACCTTATGAAATAATGAGTTTGTTTCGGCAAAGTTTCATTACAAAACACATCAAGTTTGAATAAACTAATTATTCATATATTTTCACATTGTTTATTACTTCATTTTGGCATACCGCTATCGATAATATGTGACAGTATTTATTCGCATGATAACTTTGTACGACAAGATTTAGAGCACACATTTTGAATTGGTTAATATACTGTACAGTTGCTGTTGGAAAGAAGAGGAAAATCAGTTGAATATAAAAGATAAATTTAAAAAAATTTTTTTAAAATTTAAATTTTAAATTTGTGCATCATGAGAAATAAGAAGAAAAAAGATAGAGTGCAGAAAAATAAAATGCATAAATTTCCAACACTGACTGTGAGAGTTATGAATGTGGTGATTTTTTTTTGTACTTATCCAAATTTCCTTGTTGAAAGGGATGTCGTGATTTTATGTGGGATGAGAATCGAATTTGTTCTGATGAACGAGAAGCAAGTCTATTATATCTTTGAATATTTGAAGAGATCAACAGGAAATACTTTATTGACGCATTTGGTGAAAGACCCTTACCATGGTGTTTTTGAACGAGACTTTAGTGATTTTTGATTAGCATCGTTTAGCAGCAACTTTGACAGATTCGTTAATTGCATACAAAGAAGTGAAAAATTCGTTCATTAGGAACATGTTGTTGAATAATGTTATAAACCATTGGTTCTCATTGGAGGTAAATTACCTCCTGGGAGTGATTTGGGGCTGTCACGGGGTATTTGAGAGCATCGGCAAACTAATATTTCATGCAGTTGTTGTGTTATGCTGGAACGCCACTGTGATCTACACGCGGTTCGCTCATGGCAACAATCTTATTTATTCTATATTCTGAGTATCTTTAACTCATCTAGGCCTGAACAAAAGTCAGTTGGAAACAGCCACAAGTATTTCGTAAGTTCTATAATATGCTGGCTGATATCATCTCATCATTAGGAGTTCTTTGGTTGGCAAGAGAGATCACTGGTGTGGTGCGGGACGAGTGAATTCATCGATTACAATTCGATTACACTGGAAAGTTTTGGTAATTCTCTTAATGACATTGTATAATGGGATTTTAAACGAAGTGTCGTAGGTGTGTGGAAGTGTCATAAGTAGATACTTAGGCATGTTGCAAGATTGTATTCCTGCAAATAGCAAGTTCTTGTAGTTGGGTCGGGGGTAATGATGCCTTGCCAGACCATCAAAGGAAGTGATCGAGCTCTTGAACGTGAGAACTCCTGTTATGATCGATATAAAGATCAATGAGAATTCTTCGTAATTCAAATGTTTCCAATCGTAAAGTCGTTGGGTTTCCTTTAGTACTCAAATACATTCCTGAAACTTCCACCTTATTGTTTGACTGAACTGATATAATGTTTATCAACAGTTGATGCAGATGGGGATTAGAAGGAAAAGACACATTCAAGGGGAAGGCGTATATGATTATAGACAGATTTTTTTAGTTGGAATAGGCTATCGTAGGTGAATGATGTTAAAGATGAACTTACCAATGGGATCATGGAACTGTTCTCAATCCATCGAATTAATTTTGTTTTTTATCCTTGCAATTAGTGATAGTAGCCAATGAGATAACCACTGATTCATAGAATGAAATATGTTTTGTAAAAAAGGTGCGAACATTAAGTTTATCTACAAAAGGCAAGCATTCAGAGCTAGTGAGAGGACAGTCCGGAAGCTTGTTGATGAAAAAACGAGGAAGCGAAAAGGATAGTGACATTGAAATCGTTAGAAATGAAAAAGCAAGTTTGTGAGAATGGAAATGCGGTGCTGTAGATTACAATTGGCGAATAAGGAATAANTGTTCGTGGTTGACTGTTTGGAAGCAGATGATGAGAAGATAAATGCAGAACGAATGCCCGTTGAACGTCTTCGAAACGATCTCGATTACGCCTACACAAAATCTGAACAAAAGCAGAAATTTATGGAGCAGTGCGACGATGTCAATGTGAATCAGTTTCTTAAACACTTTGACTGAGATGTGCATCTGATACCTTGAGTTCTCCTTGAGAAATAAGCAAATTATTCTCATTCGAAAATATTGGCGCGTTTGAAGCCCCAAATTCTCACGTTGTCATTTATATTATCTTTGCTTTGATTCTGTTGTTCAATGAGAAAAACTGAAGTTGAAAAGTTAGATTCAGTCATTTGCAAAGATCTTTTGTTCATTGTACACTTTGTGAAGTCCCTTTCTGCAGTCGTGCAGTTTCAGAAAATTTCTCGAAACTTTTAGAAGTGAAGCAGTCAGTGTGAATTGGATGAATTATATTGAGTTTAGCGTTCATTAAGTGATAATGGAGTTTTGAGTGATATTGCTTAGCAACTATGAAACAACTTTATATTGTCGAATAAGTAACAATGTTAATTCATTTCAAGAACGTTTAGTGAAAAGTCAAATTGAGTTTATTTCTCATTAACATTATCTCAGCTATCAATATCAATATTCTGATGGGCATCACTAATGATAATCCCTTAATGAAAGACTAATCCTTTGGAGGCACCGCTTACACGTACATCACAGCAACTTGATGCCTACAAGTAATCTGTCTTGTTTTATAGTGCCCAACAGAACTCAAATGAATTAGTTGTAGGCAGTGAATTGCAGTGGAAATGAAATCAACACCTTCAAGATGTTTTCATATAAGTACAACGATAATGATATCAGTAATTTGCGTTGTCAGTACCCTCATAAATGCTATCAATTTCATTGGACAATCTCATTTTATCTTCACTTTTTTTNTATCATTAGTATTATACCATAAAATATTTATGACTGCACTTATTGATCAACTCAAATCATGAATACTGTGAACATTTTCACATCGTTTTAATGTAAGTGCTTTTCTTACACATTCTTAATTGAACTCGTAAAATAAGTGAACATCAAAAAATGTAGTTGGAGAATACTATCACTTCAAATTGATATTTTTCGTCTGAACTATCCCAATCTTCTCGACATATTTCGATTGCTGGCTCCGTTTCGAAATTCCGTCCCTTCCATTGCTGTCATACACTCGCAAACATTTGTTGTGCCCCTTAAGCCAGTCCTGATTTTGTGACGAAATTCATTAGCTGTATGTTGAAGTGTGCATGCTTGGAAACGTCATCTGTTTGATTCCTGCTAATGCTCTGTTCTGTGGGTTGGATCGGATGACGACGGATTCCTCTTCATACGTACCTTTTCAGGGAAATTCGCATAAAAAACAGTGGTGATTAGTGAACGAAGGCAATTACCTAATTGAAAAGGATGATCTTGTGTTACTACGCAATATACTGATAATCGGTAATGAATCAGCTATCTAAAACAATAATACGAATCGAAAATTGTGAGTGAATTTAGTGTGCAATAGTATTGGCAATGGTAATGATAATGAAGTAATATTGAAAGATGTTCGAGATATGTTAAAATAAGTTTTTAATTTTATTCGTTTGTCATTTAAGCCTCAAACATTACTATGACAACGACGGACATCATAGAAAGACCATAAGTTTTACTTGCGTATTCCATTCACGATCATAATCTTCATGCACGCATCATTCATTTCACTTTCTCGGTATAAACACATTGTATCCTCAATGACAGATTCGTACGTTATGCACCAACACTTCATCATGCAACCCGCAGCACATTAACAAAACAATTTCATCCGTTCACAGGTTCCACATCCGTTGCACGTTTTCCTATATCATTTCAAATTCACTTCGTCTTGCAATATTTGGATATAATCGACTCAAATTTACCCTAAACATCTGCAGTTAAGCATCATTTTTCAACTGAATGAGTTTTTGCTGCCTTCTATTTTCTAACGGAAATTTTCCAAATTTTGCAAATATTCCACCCGTAAGAGTTATGCCGTCTACAGTATGGCTTCTTATACTGTAGATTTTCATTGATATCAATAGTCAAAGAAAATGTGATGTGAATGAAAGTTTTTTCGAAACAAAACCTTATCCTTCCCTTTTATTCTTCTAACTTAACTTCATATACTTATTTCTATACTAATCCTGTTGAACTTGTTCGGTTTTCTAAACATTTCAATCAGGTAATTTTGACGTTTTATGCTGTTTATTTAACATAGATTTATGACATGATTACATACTTTGCTATACTTTTAATTTGAATGCGTTTGTCCCCCCTTTCCAACAACAATTGCCTTATTGATACTCCATCCATTGAATTTCACTGCACATAATTATCATGCATAGTTATTATTGTTATTGCCAACAAAATTGAATCGTTCAGTGAAAACAGTGAATATGAACGCAAAGAATCGTAATGCTCTCTCTTTGTTGTTATCAACTCAGATCATAGACGAACTCTGATAAANCAGTCATTATTATCTCTGTTACCATTATTGTCGTTATTGTGGTTTTATTATCGTTGTTTTTCATTTTGGGTACATTCTTCATCACATCTTTACATGCTCGTCACCACAAGGATATTGTAGTCATGCTCATTATGAGTATTATGCAATAAAATGAAACTTGATTTCATTTCAACTAATCATTAGTTCACGTTCATATAATTTTTTTGAGGCCTCGAAAAGAAATTCTTATGTGACCGCGAAAAACAATTAAACATAATGCAAACAATATTGTAAGAGAGGGGGATGAATAGAATTACTTGCAAAGAGTTTCTGATCGTCAAAAAGAAACCACTTTTTCTTCTACGAAAGGTTCATGTTGAAATGCGAGAAGAAGAACTGGCTTCCAATTAAAATTAATTAACAAACATACTAATGCTTATGTGCAGTTTATTGCATTC